TCATCCGCCTCTGCTACCTGATTGCCAAACAGCCATTGCCTGGCCCGATCAGGGACCATTCAACTCAAGCTGAGCTCACAGCCATTCATGACTACTGGGAATACCATTGCTTTGACCATGCGGACATTTGTTGGCAGGGTGATGTCTCTACATTTTATCATACTGTTTAGGTTTGCCATCGCTTTCCTCCCAAGGAAAGCCCATTCAACCCGAGCTGTTGCTGCTTCCACTGCCTTCCTCCAGGGAGTGCCCCTGACGGACATTTGCAAAGCCGCTACGTGGGCCACGCCTAACACCTTCATCAGGCACTACGCCCTAGACGTCCGCAAAAACTCTAATACAGACATGGGACGTCGCATTCTATCTTCGGCTACGCAGTAAGGACCTGCCAGCACCCTCCTCCAGGTAGGCTACTGCTCGCTAATCTCCCATGGGTGTGAAGCACAGAGACCACATCGAAGATAAACGGGTTGCTTACCTGTAACTGATGATCTTCGAGTGGTCATCTGTGCATCTGCTTTCAGCTTCTACATTTTCAATAGGGGTTGATTCGCGGTGGTTTGAAGGAACTGGTGGGATGTCCGCGCCCTCCCCTCTGGGCAGGGAGCATTGGAGGCAGGGCAAACAAAGGGGAAAACACCCTTCCCAGTCCCCCAGGAAGCAGCATCCTAGAGGGGCCACGATGTCCTGACAAGCAGCATCCTAGAGGGGACACGATGCCCAGGAAGCAGCATCCTAGAGGGGACACGATGTTCCTGGATAGGCTGACCGTTTTCTGCAGCTTGGTTGCAAGTTAATAGCGATTCTTGGGTTTTATCAATAATAAATAGAGGTTACTTTCTGGAATTTGATTCTCTGCATCTGTTTCAACCTCCCGTTGGGGGTACCTCAACTACCTCTGGTTTCATGTCACAGGAAGTTTCTTCTCTCCTGATGAAAAGGGCCATTAATCAGGTACTTCCTGAGTGTGCAAGTTCTGGGTTTTTCTCTATTGATAAAAAGGGGGAGGTAAGAGACCCATTTTGGACTTAAGGACTCTCAACAAACATATGTCTCTAAATGTAGAAAGTTTTCTCTGCACGAGATTCTGCCCCTGTTGAACAAGGGCCTTTGGTTTGTGGTCCTCGATCTCAAAGAAGTGTACTTTCATATCACAACTCATGAGTTTTGTAGGAAGTTTCTGAAATTCAGCTACAGTGGGATCACTTATGAATATACAGTCCTGCCTTTTTGTCTGGCCATGGCACCAAGAGTATTTACAAAGTGCATCTCAGTAGTTGTGGCTCACTTGAGGCTGCACTGGTCCATGGTATATCTGTTCCTTGATTATTAGCTTTTTGTGGACAGTTCCCTTGAGCTATTAGACCTGGGGTTTGCTCTGTGTACCCTACATGAGCTGGGTTTCATAGTCAATTGGGAGAAATCCTGCCATTCTCCTGCACAATTTGTTGAATTTATAGGGGCTATGACTAACTCAGTTAAGGGGAAAGCATATACCTTCTACCCCAGAGGGCAAAGCAGATTTTGCTGGGTTGTATGTGAAGCCTTTGCAGAACTGGTTTATTTATGTGTTTAGCGCCACAGTAGATGCACAGTGGAAAAAGCTGTTTATTCCCAGGGCCATTATCGATTTCCAATTTCCAATGTATTGCACATGGCTAGTGGCCGTTACAAGTACAATAGAACAGAAGCTATAAAATACAGGATAAAATCTGCATTAAAACACAGGGGTTAAAAATATAAGATATGTGTCAAGCATAAAGCTGGCTGCATTCTTAAAATAATATAAGATAAAAAACTAAAACATACAGAATGAATATAGGGTTTGGAGTAAGGACCTTATATACCTTGACATAGCCCTGGCTATTTAGCAGGCAAATATTTAGTCAACTTGATTTGAATTTTCTTTGCCACTAGGGCAAAAAGTGCAAGCTTGTACGGATACTCTGGCTCCATTTCTGCAAATAAAGTTATAACTTTTCCAGATGTGGAGCAGGGACCCAATTTATCTAAGATTGAGCCAAGAAACATCTTTCTTGGGGATGAATGGAGTAGGCATTCCAGCAGGTAATGACACAGATCTTCAGGGTCTGGGCCACCAAATATGCAAACGCACTCAGTTGCTGGTATTTTGGTATAGCGATGATCCGCTTTAATCAATTTATACCAAGGGGATGATTTATTTCTTAGTATAACTTCTCTGTCTAGGCCGGGATCATGTGTGTATATTTGCACCTTGCCATCAAAATTGGCCTGAAAGGTTCCACAGACAACATCCGGCAAATTATACACCTGAAGGACTGTATTATACTTAGATTGCCAATCAGGGTCTTTCAAGCTTTCAGAAAAACAGGCTGGCAAGATTATCTGCTGGAGCTCTTTTCAGTCTGTGCCAGTAGTGAAAAAAGATTTTATGAGCACGAGCGCATAGGGAGTCAGGGCCATTATCAAAACACTGAAATGGTGTGGTATGTTAGAGAACCTACTTAAGGGAGTTACTCAGAGTTATGATGTGCAAGTGTTCGCAGATGCTTCCCTGATGGGCTGAGGAGCACATTGGAGTCACTATAAGGCTAAGGGGACATGGTCTCAGTCTAAAGCAAGACTTCATATTAATCTGTTAAAACTAAAAGCAATCAGGCATGCTCTTGCTTCTTTTACAGTGCTGCTCAATGGACAACACCATGCCAAAATTCTGTCTAAACAAACGAGGGGGCACAGGCTCCGTTTATTTGTGCAAGGAGGCGTCGTTCATCTGGCAGTGGGTAATTTGCTGTGGGGTTCACCTTTCAGCCATTCACATAGCGGGGCAGGACAGCTCCAAGCAGACACCCTAAGCAGGGAAGTGGGCATGGACCAGAAGTGGTCAGTCACTGATCACTACCATCATCCCATATTCGAAGAAAGGGGGTACCCTGATATAGACCTCTTTGTATCCAAAGCCAAGTGCCACCTGTTTTGCTCCAGGGCAGCCTTGGGCAGAGAGTCTATTGGGGATGCCTTCCAGTTTGCATGGCATGGTCACCTGTTCTATGGGCCCCCCCCCCCTTTGGGATCATACACAAGGTGGTGGCCAGATTGAAAGCAGACAACTCCACGTGTATCCTGCTAGCCCTGTACTGTCCCAGAAGGATATGGTTCCTGACCCTGTGGACACTGGCCAGGGGAGTGTACAGGCCCCTGCTGCCAGCAGAGGACCTGCTCCTTAGAGGCCTGATTCTTCACCCAGACGTGAAGTCTCTATATTTGACAGCTTGGCTGATGTGTCCATAGGGGGCCTGTCACAGAGACTCAGAGAGGTCCTTATCACCACCCACAAACTTTCCACTCAAAGATCATATTCTTCAAAATGGAAAAGGTTCACAGTCTGGGTGGACAAACAGGGTATCAAACCTGACACTTGTACTCTGTCTCCCATAATCAATTGTCTTCTGTTGTTGAAGGATGAAGGTCTTGCCACCTCATCCATAAAGTTTCACTTGCCAGCTATTTCAGCTTTCTGTAAAGGTGTTAAAGGGTCCTTGGTATTTTCAGTAGCTGAATCAAAACAGTTTCTTAAGGGTTTACTCAGTTTGTATCCCCCTGTTGGACCCCCTGTTCCACAATGGAGTTTATCGCTGGTTCTGATAGCTAATGTATAAACCCTTTGACCCAATGGCTTAGTCTAACTTATCTTTTCTGTTGTATAAAACAGCCTTCCTGATAGCCATTGCATCAGCACGTAGGGTGGGAGAACTGTATGCAATAAAATGTGATCCCCTTTACAAAGTTCCATGTAGACAAAGTGGTGCTCCAGCCTAGCTCGGAATTTTTTCCAAAAGTCTCTCAGTTTCACTTGAAACCTGACATCATCCTCCCAGTGTTTTTCCCATCCCCGACTTTCACATCTGAACAAACATTACACATGTTAGGAGACAGCATTTCTTATTTATTTAAAACAGAAGAGTTTAGGAGGGATAGGAATCTATGCATCTGTTTTAAAGGCCCCAGTGAGGGCAAGGTAGCGTCCATACAGATACTGTCCAGATGGGCAGTCTCTGCTATAAAAACAGATTACACATGAGGAGGAGGAGGAGGAGATTGGATTTATACCCCGCCCTTCACTACCCAAAGGTGTCTCAGAGCGGCTTACAAACTCCTTTTCCTTCCCCTCCCCACAACAGACACCCTGTGAGGTAGGTGGGGCTGGGAGAACTCTTGACAGAAACTGCTCTTTTTCAAGGACAGCTGTGCCAGAGCCCATTGCACTGAAAGCCCACTCCACAAGGGCTCAAGCTTTGTCAGCCGCTCTCCTATCTAGGCTATTACTACATGACATCTGTAAAACAGGTACCTGGTTGAGGCCTTTGATTTTATCAGGCATTACTCTATGGATTTGGAATCCAGGAATGAGGCTGCTGTGGGAAAAGCAGGATTGCAGTCAGTCTTCCACTGATCAGCCCACATTTGCATACTTGGTAAGCGAGCTTGCTAATCTCCCATGTGGGACTGCACAGAAACTATGACGGTGAAAGCTGTAACTATTGTTCATCCAGTTGTCTTCTGTGCAGGCACACATCCCTTCCTCCTTCACCCATTGTGGGGTGCTCTGTTGGCCTCTCTCAGACCCCGTGACAGCAGCAGGAGAACTGAGGGAGGAGCGCTCTCCCCGCCTCTGTCATGTGACCCCCTTGGGTGGGAAAAGCAGGGCCTCAGATGTGGGGAGGGAGCATTCTTAGGCTTTGGAAGCTCTAAAATCTTGAAAGCTCCTCTCCTACGGCAGGCCTGTGATTGTGCAATCTCTATGTGTGCTTGTATAGAAAACCACTTTATGAACAACAGCTACAGGTAAGTGCAACCCTTTTTTTCCTTTATAATTCTGTTAAGCAAAAGGGACCAGAGGCTTAAACTGTTCCTCATTATGTTGAAGAAGTCTCATCCAATTATCAGTTATAAAGAATATTGATGTAGAATTAATGCCTTAAAGTAAAATAACTAATGGGGGGAAAAACCTTTTTCAGCTGACATCAGTATTCCTGACAGTGAAGAAATTGCCAGTATTTATTCCAAAACGGAGTTTGAAGAAAGAGAAGCATCAGTACTTGAGGAAAGAACAGAAGAAGCCATAAAAGAAAATTTAGTAGGAAAGAACCCACCTACCAATGTACCTGAATGCCAAGAAGTAAATGTAAGTAAATGCTTTGTTTTCTCAACGCTTCACAGCTTTCTTTGAACTCTGAGTGTACTTGTTTTGCTAAATTACTGCTTTATCAGTATACTGACTTGTATATGTCTTTATGGGTTGTTGGGGTGGTTTGGATGTTTGCAATTTGCTCCATGTTAGAGGTGCTGTCCAAACGAAGCAGTCTCTGACCTGGAACATCCACAAGTGCAACTGCTACTTCCCAGTGGTGACTTTCATGTGTGCAACACCTGAAACATTGTCACTCTGATAATTGCCACTGGAAAGGAGCAACTGTATGAGTGGATACTCGCAGCCAGACATTGCATCCTTCCTGTGGCTGTGGTAACAGGACTGCTTAGCCACTCCATCTGAAGCCACTAACAAATACCTGCGCCATCTTGCAGAGTAGAATATAGAATTACCTAAATGGCTGGTTTGCTTGTTTCTCTGAAACGTGAGGAAACATTGTTATTTTTTTTTTATGTTTCTGGAAAAATAGTATACCAGCAATGATCTTGTATATTTTCTATTTTTCAGCCTATTGACGATGGAGCGCCTGAGGTACAAGTTTTGGAAACTTTTGTGGAGACTCTCCCAAACAGTGAGCTGTGTCCCTCAAACACTGTTCAATATCAGTGCAGCGATGATGCTGTGGAGCAACAGGTTGCATGTGAATTGCTTGATAAAGATGCTGGTGAATATGGCTTTTCTGAAGAACAAGAACTATTCCTGCCTCAGGACAACTTTACATTAATACTAGAAGGGGATGAAGAAGCTGAAATAGGAGAGATTCCTGCATTGCATTCTCTTCCTCTGAAATCAGCTAGCCCAAAATCAGAGGGAGAACATCTAAATAATACTGAAAGTAACAACCAAGAACTCATTACAAATTCAGTATCCACAGTAACTAGCGATCAGATGTCCCAGAATACTACCAAGGTATTGCCTTATGTACCTGAACCTATTAAAACGGTTATTGCTGAAAACCTGTTAGACATAATAAAAGACACAAGAAATAAAGAGTTTTCATCTGACGTAGTAGAGGAATCTGTTCACAAAAGCATAAACAAGAAGTTACTAAATTCCCTCCAGGATCCACTACAAAATATTCCTGAAACAAATAAAGAGACGAAAATAAATCAGGCAGAACACATAGTAACATCTAGTAGAGGCACAACAGGACAGATGGCTGTAAGTCTAAATGACTTGTTACCTGATGATCAGCTATTGACAAAGATGAGTGAACCAGATGTGCCGGTACTGCCTACAACAAGAAGAAGTGCTAGACGAGGAAAAGATACTTCTAGCATTCCTGAAAACCGTTCTGACAGTTCTAAAAGAAAACCCCAAGAACAGCAACCATCACATGCTCTTGCTTTTCCAGTTAAAGGTACTGAGAATACAGAAGGGTGTGATCTAGAAATATCAAAAGATGTTCATCCCGTTGCACAAGAGGTTCAGGCAACCATTACTTCAAGAAGAGGAGTTAGGAAATCAAAAGCACTTGTATCAGAATTTCTTAAGCATCCAAATGACCAGCCAACTTCTGCTCTCAAGAGGACTTCTAAAAATACCGAAAGCTTAGTAGGAGATCAAGAAGGTAATCAGTTCTTTATTGACCATACAATACAAATGACTGTCAATCCTAGAAGCACAAGAAAGCTGAAAACCATTGCTTTCAAATTTGCAGAAAATGTAATTTCAGATCAGAAGGCAGAAGCAGAAGAAAAGAAAGAGAGTGTTACACCAAGAAGAGGACGACCAAGGAAACATGGTATACTGGAAGTATCAGCGCATACAGAAACACAGTCTGAGAAGTTACAATTACCATCCTCAGTTAGAAGGGGCAGAAGTCGAAGTTCCAGTGTCCTGGAAGCAATTTGTAAAGAGAGCACACAGCCCAGTGAGCCTCAGCTGCCCACTCCAACTAGACAAGGGAGAGCGCAGAGTGCCAGTAGAGCTGAGAATGTTTCTGGGCAAGAGACTGAGGTCCCTGAGCAGCAGACTGTGCGGCGTAAAAGAGGTAGACCAAGAAAGAATCCTCTGAATGTTTCAGCAGATTCCAAGCCGGTTTTATCTTTACTGTCACCATCACCTCCTCCTCAGCTAAATGTTAAATCTTTTGTTGCTAGTCGAAGAAGTACTAGAAGTGCAGCACTAAATAAGTCCATGAGTGCAACATCTGTACCCGAGACTGCATTAGATACTTCAAAAAGGAGAAGTAGAAGACTTACATCTGCAAGTGTAGCGAAAACAAAGGTGGAAGAATCTGTCTCAGAAGAACCTTCTGATGCAGTGGCTTCGGCAAGGAGGTCTGCAAAGAGGCAGTCAAAAATGACAGCAATCAAAAAGTACAAAGTTCCATCACACGCTGAAGAAAGTGCAGAGGTGAAACCCTTGCCACAAGCCACTGATAACGTTGAGGAACTGCAATCCATGGGTGTGACCGAACTAAGGCTTGGTGAAATGCAGAAAACTGTGGCACGTCATGGCTCTCATGTTAAAAGGACCAGATACAGCAAAAAGAGTATGAAACAGAGCCTCTCCCTTGATAGAGACGAGGCATTCTTTTTTTCTCCCCCTCTTACAAAACTCACGGAGGACCCTAAAGGTAGTCAAAATGGTTTTCTTAGACAAATTAAATAGGTTGGATCCAAAAATCAGTTTCCATTAATAGAAAACACTGCAGTCAGCAGAACAGAACTTTCATGCCTGCTATAGCAAACACCTTACTTCTGAGGGCAGGGAATCTCAAGAACAACATGAGGGGGCAAATTGGGGGTCTGCGATAAGGGGAGGGAATTGCCAAAAAATCCCCCCCCCAAATGGAAAATGATTTTGGATTCAACTCAGTACATAAACAATTAAAAATAGTTTGTTATATATGATTACTGATGTAAATTGAACAAAAGCGGGGTAGAAGGAATCCTGGACGTTTGAATTTCAATAGACCAACTACTCCTAATCTTTGCCAGTGTATGGTTGGATGCATATGATGCTGCAACCTTGCTAAGATTAAGCAGCTATGGGTCTGGTCAGTGCCTAGATGAGAAAGTTTTTGAAACCCCATATGCCAGAGGTGTCAAACTCATTTGTTACATAAATGTCACTTTGTCGGGCCGGGCCTTGTGTGCCATAAAACGTAATGCCAGGTACTGGAGATAGGAACTGTATAAAGGACAGCACCTGGTAAGTTCCATGTTGGTGTGTCCTCACTGCAACGCCCCATGGGCTGGGAGGGGGTGGGTCCAGAGGAAAACCGACAAGAGGCAGACTGGAGAGGCAGCAGTGCAGCACTGGGCAGATGCTCCCACGATCTTTGACTGCTGCAGATGAGGTGGTTCTGCCATGCTGAAGCCACAATCGGAGTGGCTCTGCCCACTCCCCCCCCCCAGCACTTTCTCCCTTGCGTCAGTTGCTCGCAGGCCGCATAAGAGCCCTGGATGGGCTGGATCTGGTCCCCAGGTCTTATGTTTGACACCCCTGCCATATGCACTTCCTTGAGTTTCATGATGGAAGAAGGCTGTATATAAAAAAAATCCCCATACAGCCGTATGACAACATTGTCATATTATCTAGACAAGGTTTTCAGCTATTACTGGGATGTGCTTTTACCAGCTTTTAATAAGCTGTTTGTGTGATGCGGTGTTGGGTATCAGTTTGGAAAGGATAAAACTGGAGGAAAAAATCTCTGCTTTCTGATTGTTCACTGATGCACCACTGAGTGCCTCTGGCACTCATGAAAAGGTGACTGGTGATCATATTTGAAGCTGCTTCTGTGCTTTCAGTCCTTACATATTTAAAGATGACAGAGACCACTTAACTCTTATGGAAAAATGGTAGATCAGCATGACTCCTACAAATTCTCATGAATACCAAAAACAGTTCCAAATCAGGCTTGATTATATGAGTTTCCTCTAAGTGGCAACAGAAAACAGCACTCAGATGCTAGCCTAGAGCCATGGAGAGGTTTAATTGGTCAACAAAAGCCCCCTGATCCCCCCCTCCTAAATCAACACCCTGTTGTTTCCCAGCCATCTCTGCTTCCAGAGTGATCACATGAGAATAAAGGGAATGCCCAGTTCTTCCACTCCCTGGTGTGTTTGGAGGGAATGATTGAACTTGGACAGCTCACTTCTTTGAGGCTCTGTCTTAGAGTTTGGTCCTCCTGTGCCAGGTGGCAGGGGCGCAGAGGCTTAAAAAGATGCCATAAGAACTCACATATTCTGAAATGAAGCATGTTGCTTCAGAGCCTGTCAAGGGCCTCCGCGTTTACCCCCCACCCAATAGATTTATCAGTATTTGTTACAATCTTAGATCAGCTGAGATTGACACACAGGGAGAGTCATTAGCATATCTACATACAACAAAGTTTCAGAGCCATATAATAGGCTGTTTTCAGTATTGCAGACATCATTAATAAAAGACTAAAGCAGCTGCTTCCTTGTTGAGCTTACTGAGTTGCAAAATTTAGCCACCTTGAAGGTGGTTTTATTAGAACAATCTGAGAGGAGATGGGAAGTATAACATTCATCAAGTCTCCCTGGAAAATTTGATAAGACTGGAGTTATGTATAGAAACCACATGTCCCTGTACAAAGGACAATACAGTAACACCTGATCAACTTTTTCAGACATGTGCCATTGGGAGGGGCAAGCATGTTGAGAGTCAGGGGTAAGTGTATAAGAGCTGCTGGTAACACCTTAAAGTGGACCAAGGTGAGAACTCTTCAGTATTACGGAATTCTAAAATGGAGCTGCCAGAGCAGAGGTTTCATCATGATTCTCTGAATCATAGAATTGGAAGGCACCTCCAGGGTCATCTAGTCCAGCCCCCTGCACAGTGCAGGAAATTCATAAATACCTCCCCCCCACACCCTCAGTGACCCCTGCTCTATGCCCAGAAGGGGGAGGGACTCTCCAGAATCCCTGGCCAAATTGGCCTGGAGAAAGTTGCTTCCTGACCCCAAAGTGGTGATCAGGATTTCCCTTAGCGAATAAGAAGGGCCACAAGAACTAAGCAGTGATGCAACCCTTCCTGACCTCCCTCTCATGAACTGCCTGAGTTCACAGAATCAGCATTGCTGTCAGATGGCCAGCTAGCCTCTGTCTGAAAACTTCCAAAGAAGGAGAGTCCACCACCTCCCGAAGAAGCCAGTTCCACTGAGGAACTGCTCTGTCAGGAAGTTCTTCCTAATGTTTAGCTGAAAACTCTTCTGATTTAATTTCAACCTGTTGGTTCTGGTCCAACCTTCTGGGGCAACAGAAAACAACTCCGTACCATCCTCAAGTACTTGAAGATGGTTATCATAACACCGCTCAGTCGTCTCCTTTCCAGGCTAAACATACCCAGCTCCTTCAACCTTTCCTCATAGGACTTGGATGAGACCATGGCCATGCTCTGTCTACTTGAAGGGCTGTATCCCAGATTTGCTGTTTAATTGTATTTTTGGCTCCCATAAATCCAAGATTGCATGGAGTTGGGGGAGTAAACCCATAGGAATTTAGTTTACACCCAGCATGAGTGGAATTTATCTGAAAGAATTAATGAAGTTAATCCAGAAGGGTTAAAATTTAACTTAAACCAGAAGAATATTGCTTGACACCAGCCTTATACTTCAAGCAGCAGCATCCCTGACTCTAAGAAGGGCACTGGGAACACAGTGTGGGACTCTGAATATGAATCTAAGGAATTTAGACTGAATTGTCTCCAGGGAGTTGAAATCTTTATGTAAATATAGTTGCGACTCATATATGAGTTGGGGGAATCAGTTAGCCCTAGAAGACTTTGATAATATAAGGACTATGTGAGCCCCCTTTCTTGAAAAATAATCTCAGTGTAGCTGGTTTTGTTCTTTGAGTAGTCTCAAGAACATGGGCCTGCTGAGCATTCCACAAACCAATCAACTGGAAAAAACTACACATAGGTCCTGTTCACACGGAGGATTTGCCATGGTAAAGGCACGAGTGGCAGGCGGATTATCGGTGCGCGATCACACCACAACATCTGGGAAGCGTAGCACACCCGTGGGCAATCCGTGGCATCCCGCCGAAGATGTGCGGTAAAAAACTAAGTAGTATCCGGAAAACACGGGGCAAGGGCGGGCGTCTGATCGCGGGAGCGCTAGTATCCCGTGGCTTCTGGCGCCCGTCCGAGTCCCGTCGCAAACCAGATGGTTTCCCTAAGCGCATGCGCACGAACATTAAACTGGAAGCAGTGCTGCTTCGTGGAACTGCGCATGCACACAAACATGGAACGCTTGCCGCACGGCTTCTTTGCCAGCTCCAGCATCGCCGTGTGATCGCGAGCTTCCTGCCACAGTGCAAAGACTCGGAAGATGGTGTGATCGAGCTAACGCACTTTATTTTGCCCCGGGGCAAATAGCCACGCCTCACCCCCGCGTTATCTGGCCCGTGTGACTGGGGCCTTAGATATTTAAAAAACTTCATCTGATCAATATATGGCTATGCTTAAAGTTTTAGGTAAAGAAAAGCATTTGGGTCTTCTGAAAATTCATTATTAATGGTTCCTCCCTGCAAGATACTGTGAGATCTACTTCAGAGTGAGATAATCTAACTGGGCAAAAGGGGAGTAGATCTGCATGTGCAGGAGAAGTATGATGCTATAGCATAAAAGACCCAGGTGGACCTCCATTCAGAAGGCTTTGGATGCAATGACATCATGCCAAGAGAAGGGGGCAGCAACTACGGGGGCTATAAAAAGCCATTCCACATGCTGTTCTCCACAGTTTCAATCAAAAATGGCATGTTTGGAATATTTCATTCCACGTTTATATGCTTCTTGCTAGGGAAAAAATAAAGTATATGCTTCCTAATACTAGGTGAAAAAGCAGTGACTCCAGTACAGCTCAAAGATTTAGATGCAGATTTGGCCTCTCGGTTCGTGTTCTCGCCTCCTGTTCTGAGGTCCAGGAAAAAACAGGTGTCCAGTATTTCAAGGATTGTGGAAGAGCTGGTAAGTAAAGCTACTTTCTTTTTCCTTTTCATGCTCTTTGCTTCCTCAAAGGTCAGAAGAGAACAAAAAAACTATTTCCAAGGAAGGGATCCTTGCAGGACTTCATAGAAGTTTCCAAATGTTTATTAGAAGTAGATCTACTCAGCTGTTTTGAGGCGGGTCAGAAGTAATTTAAATAGCTGTTGCTGTTTAAGGATCAATGCAGATTTGTTTGGACTATCCTGTGATTTCATTCTTTCATCCAATACAGGTGTATCCTGTACTTGTTTGCTTTGATTTTTTCCAAAAAGTTGACTCTCTAGGTTATCTTTTAATTACAGTTAAGAACATCTTTATCTGACCCAATCACAGTAGCTGTAGATCCTTGTTTTTTAAAATATGGTAGTTGTAATCAATTTATACATCACTCTAAGCCATTAAGGAGAGGGTAGATTGCTTGGTACTTATGTCTAGTTTGATATCTACTTATAGACTTGCCTCCTAAAAACAACTCAAGGTAGGTTGCAATGATTTTTAAAACAAATCAGAATAAAACAATTAAAACTTACATGTAACACATTAAAACAACTTCAGATGGCAAGAAAACTTTTATCTTCTGGAAGATAATAAAAGAAGTATGTTTTACACTGCCATAAAGATGCTAGTGATGTAGAGATCTTCTCAACCTGCAAAAGAAGGCTGTTCCTCTACACAAGAACCAGACTCATGGGCTTCTGTGGAGTTGGTAGATGCTGATCTAATTTGTCAGCATGGTGACAGACTAAGTAGGCCTCAGTAGATGAGTGAAACTGTTGCCCAGGAAACGTATTAAGGGAAGCAATCCTGAAAGGCTTCTGATCTCGTTAGACCAGAAGTACATGCAGTAGTGCCCTTAGTTGAGAGCTTTATGGGTGAGAACACACTTTTTGTCCCCATACCTTCTTTTAGAAGCCCACCAGAATGAGCTGTAGGCAGAAATGTAATCTTTCTGGAAATTTTGAAGCTAAGGGTAATTTTGTTTCTGGGAAAACAGAAGTTTGGGGGAAGTTGAAATATTTGCGGTACTTTCTTATCAAACATGAACATTTTACTGTTTCAATAAAAATGCACCATTTGTAACTTAGCATATGCAGTTGTACAATTTGAAGAAGAACAGTGAATATATCCAGTGTTAAAGGGAGAGAACTGCAAACTTGTATTCTGTGCTATCTTAGCGTTAGCAAATTGTGATGTAGTAAAAAAATATATGCTACAATGGGACTGCGGACCTGCCCGGTTCGTCAAACTTTTCAAGCATCCTCATGAGGGGAATCACTTCTTACCCCATACTCATACCCCTGGGGAAAATGAAATGAGAACATTATAGACTTCCTTATTAGTGTTCTTTTCCGCCCTGTGGTTGTGGGCTAGGATGTGTGTATGTGTGGAGAACATATGGGGCAATAAGTCTATTCATAGTAAACTGAGACAGGAATTAGTTTCCACTATGTACGCATTTAAACATTCTGTTCATTTTTCTTTAGGAGTTGCCAGTTAAAGAAGAAGACGATGCCATCTCAATAGAAACTTTGGAAAAGCAGAAAGTAAAAAGAAGTGGAACTAAAAGATCAAAAGCAATCAAAAAAACCAAGTACGCAGTAATTTCATCGTATTTTGGAGTAGTCATTTAAAAAGCTGTGAAGTACAGAATACGTTGCATTGGCAATTGAATGCGGGTGTGGCATGGTGGTTTGAGTGTCAGTCTAGGAACTGGGTCATCTGGGTTCGATTCCCACCTTTGTCATTAAAGCTTGCTGTGTAATCTTGGGCCTCTCACAGTCTCTCTGTCTAACTTACCTCACAAAGTGGCACTGTAACATCTTTCTTTTTTCCCCCTAGACTCTTAGGTAAAGATGGTAGTTGGTCACCACCACCGATGGAGATTAAGTTTATTTCTCCTTTTGGCACCCCAGTGGATGGAGCAAAAAGTAAACAGAAAGACTCTGTGGATAAAGCAGAAAAGCCTATTAAAAAGACTGTTTCCAGAAACGAGAAGAGACTGTCTAGCTATCCAAAGCCAGTTGTCCGGAAGAAGATGCTATAACTATTTTTTAAAATTTGTAACGCACGCCAATGTTTGTAAAGTCATCACAATTGTGGGAATATTAAGAAAGAATCATTAATTTGGAAGATAATTTATATAAATTATTGTAAAATTTCAGAAAACTAAAAGTCTTCGATAAGTAACTCCATGTGGAGTATGATTTCTTCAGTCAATGCAGTTTTTCTATTTTATAAGACTTCATACATTTATATAATATGTAAATACATCTTATTTTAGGACTGTTAAATAAAACTGTATTCTTCATGATATGATTGTCCACTAGATTTTTGAAAGAGAATAATGGGGGCATGAGATGCAAATAACTCAAAGGATATTTTAATTCTGTTTTGCCACTGTTGCTGTCTCTTAAATAATAGGCTAATCTTTTTTTAACAGTTTGATCTTGCAGATGTTTTAAAAAATTAAAATTTGGCAGTTTTAACATTTATAGAAAATGTTTTGACCTTTTTGGAATTGCTAATTGGAAACAACTTCCTTTCCTGGGTGAAGATGTACTTTATTGAAGTCAGAATGTAAACAATTGTGTTGAAGCTGTGCAATATTTTTTTTTTGTATTTTGTCTTAACTTGGTAAAGCTGCTTTTCAGTTTATAAAACAAAATCTCACCTCAGATGTTTCATGCTTTTTTCAATTTGCTGCATCAGCAAGAATTCACAGCTGTCCACCCAATGGGCTCAACATTTTCAGGTATTAACTGAAATTTGACCCAGATTTGATATTTTGAAATGATGCATGTTTTTATAGATATTGTGGTTACTAGAGAAGTGCTACCACAATTTTGGTAAAATAAAGTTATCTGTGAATATGCATTCTCTTACGGTATGTTTTTCCAATGCACTGCAGCAAAGAGAAAGCGAAACTGAATATAAGTGAGGATCTTATGGTCTAAACTGGGAGACAACAAAACAAAATATGGTAATAAGTGCGCACCTCTTTCTGCTTCAGAGGGTTGCAATAATAGGTTAAAGCAGGGCTTTTTATCTGGGGGAACACGCTGAAGAAAAGTTCCAGGACGTCTTTGACAAAATTCTTTTTAAAATGTTTAAAAGTTCATGAGTTTTCAGTATACAGATTAAAAACTTCATTTCCCTCTTGAGAGTTCTGGCACCTCTCCCCCCCCCCCCCCCCCCAACGCACAGGAACGGAGTTCCGGCTGGCTCCTGAGTTGGCCACACCCAGGAGGAACTCATTAGCATAATAGGCCACACCCAACAGCAGAAACTCATTAGGATTGGCTACATTAGGGGGTGTGTGGCCTAACATGTAAAGGAGTTCCCCCCCCCCCCCCCAAAAAAAGCCCTGGGTTAAAGCTGTTTAAACTGACAGGGGCCTTCTGGAAACCTAAACAGACTTTTCCCACTGACTCCAAGTTTCTTCAAACAAAACCTAATTTTAAAACATAATATCTCCTTAGGCCTCTTTCTGGGAGGGGAAAGGTGGAATATAAATTATTAGACTAAACATGCTTCACCTAGGCTGTCCAATGTCTAACATACTGGCTAAGAGAAAAAAACAGTGGTGGTAGTGAAAGTTACAGCCATTCCTCTTAGAAATAATTTATCAGGAAACTTATACAGGTAATGAGTTCAGCTCATTAATAATAGAGTAGTCCAGAATAGGAACAGCTGTCTTAGGCTTCACTTTTCATTTTTTTTCCCTCTTAAAGCAAGATGTTGAAGATAAACGGATGCATAGACTTGAGTGTTTTTTTTCTGGATTTCTTGGAAGAGTGAAAGCAACAAAACATGCCAAGTTCTGACAGTGTGAAAGTGGCGGTGCGTGTAAGACCTTTCAGTCAGGTTAGTATTTGTGTGTGTGTGTGAGAGATGGTCTAAAGATGCCGAGGACCCCAATCGTGGCCTGTTTGGTGGACAGTACATTAGATAGGAGTGAGACTTTGTCTGGGCTTCAGTGTCTCTTCACTTTCCTAATGTCTACAGAAGCAGTGATGCTTGTGTTTCTCAGGAAGCTGTTGCTATAGAGGGAGGAACATAAAGGAAAATCTGGTCCTGTAGCTCATCCTGCCTATTTTTCCTGCAGTGCAGAGGAAACCTACTAGGAACAGACTAGACCTGACTCGGCTCAGACTTTCTTTTGCCTTGTGCCTTTTATAGATATACCATAGTTCAAGTCCTTTGGGAATTTATTTTCTTTGGATCTTTTAGGCTTGCCTTCCTCCTCAGGGTTTCCAAGCTCAGGCCATGGCTGAGCTTCATACTGCAGTAGTGACGAGAGAAGACATACCTGCAAAGCTTTCCTTTCTACTCACTACTTTAAGTTACAGGAACCTTTTCATGTTTGGTCCTGGGAACTGCCCAGTCAGGCTTCTTTAGTGAGGTCTTCTAGTTTCCGACATTCCTTTGCTTTAAATTGCCTGGTCTGGCGATCTTCCTGCTGGGAAAAGTTTCACTTTTAATTCTTTGTGTGAGACTTCTGTAAGGCAAGAGGGGCTTATCCATAATTGCTTGCCCACAGCTCACAGGCTGTGTGCCTTTGTAGTGGTTGCCATCGTTTTCTGTCAGGGTTTCTTTTTTTAATATACATAGCAGGTAGGAACTGTATCAACTGCAGCTACAGTGATGGGGAAATGGCAGCTGTTTCTTTTTTGTCAGTCATTCAGCTTTTGAAGGCACGGGATCCCTGCTTGTAGGTACAAAGGACAAAGCTAGACCCTCTGTAAAGTCTGTGTCCATTGTAAACTGTTTGGTGCTTTGTGCTTAGAGGAGAGAACAGCAAGAATGACTGTGCAGCAGGAGAGAGGCTCTGCTGGGAAGATTCCAAAGGCAGACGAGTCGGGAACTTTCCCTCATTGCAGATGGAATTCAAAACTCTCCCCTCTCTATTTAACTGTCTAAGTATGTTGTCTTCTAGGCAGGGGTGGCCTGGACCAAAGTTCTCTCTAAGCTGTGCTAGGGGGTGCTGGCACACAACATTTTAGCTGCCAGCACAGGGATTGTTGCTTTCAGCTCAGGACTTGAACACAGAAGGGACACCACCACCACCCCGCTGTTGGAAACAATGGAGGATGGGAGTACCTCCTTCTGGAGCCCATAGAATTGGACCCCCTTATCAAATCTTTTTAGAACTTTGAGGGTTTTTTGAGGAGAGGCACCAGCAGCTGTGCTGCAAATATGGTGTCTCTATCTCAAAAAAATAGCCCCCCCCCCCAGAGTCCCAGATACCCACAGATCAATTATCCATTATAGCCTATGGGGCTCATTGACTATAATGGAGCTGGGGGGGGGATTGCACACCCCTATTATGCTTTTCAGTATGATTTGTAAGCTGCCTTGAGTCACAGGGAAAAGTGGGATTAGAAATATTTGAATAAAGTCGTTTGGGAAGGTTGATAACATTTAAGCAACTTCCTGCTTGTTAGGTTACGCAGGATTTCGACAGTGATTGTTCCACTTCTGTTATACTTGACCTGTAATGATAGTTGTCATATTTCAATTAAGAAAAAAGCAATAAAGTAGACAGCAAGAGCTCCCCCCTCCCCCAATTGCTGGCATGTCTTCTAAGGCTCAGCACAGGGCGATGGTCTGAGGCCAGGTCTACCAATATACTGGACTGGGACGGGTAGACCTGTCCTCTGGAGGCCAGGTTTACCAATACAGTGGACTGGGGTGGGTAGCCCTGTTCTCTGGAGGCCAGGTCTACCAGTACAGTGGACTGGGGTGGGGAGACCTGTTCTCTGAAGGCCAGGTCTACCAATACAGTGGACTAGGGTGGGGAGACCCGTTATCTGGAGGCCAGGTCTACCAATATAGTGGAAAGGGCAATGTAGACCTGATCTCTGAAAGTCAGGTTTACCAATACAGTGGAAAGGGCAGGTAGACCTGTTCTATGGAGGCCTGATCCTACCCCCTTAGAGGACAACATTTTCTGTAGTGAAATTTGACGATTCTGTTTTCTCTTATAATGTTAGATTATTCCTAAAATGTAGTTTAAATTTAGTTTAAAAGAATTCATACTGAGATTTTAACAAGGTTATGGAAATAATCTTCTAAAAACTAATTTACATGATAGTTAAATGTAGACTTGCTCACAACTTTAATTCTATTAGCTTTTTTCGCTCACAAGGCAGAATTTTTGCTCACAACACTGTGGAGTTTAAAGGGAACATTGGTCTGGACCACTGTTCCCTCTAAGCTGAGTTAGTGTGAGCTAGCTCACAGTTTTTTAGACTCCAGCTCACAGATTTTTGTCTTTGCTCAGGAAGGAGGGCTCCAGAGCAAACTAATTTATGCAGTAGCCAAATCACTCGCTCACAACTTTAAGGCCAGGAGCTCACAAAGTAGAATTTTTGCTCACAAGGCTCCACAGCTTAGAGGGAACATTGGTCTGGACCCCCTAATTTTCCAGGGTAACTTATGCCCTGAGGCTTTGAATGAACAGTGAGCAATGGCGGTGAGGTAAGCATTTCTTTCTAACAGAGTAAAAGGATTTACTAACTACAGAGTAATTTGTTTTCACCCTTTCTAACACATTCTTAAGCCTTACATGTTTAAGC